TGGATCATTCATCCATCCATGCATCCAATGTGTCTGTGTCCAGGCTAACCTCCGTACCAATATGCCAAGGGAAACCTCCTGCAGTCTCAGGATTAACATTTGGCAGCTATGCCCTCTGTGTCCCAGCTGCCTCTGCTGTTGAGGACCACGAAGATTCACATAGAATAGAAATTATAGCAATTGTTCTTCTGTTTTAATTATGGTGGAACATGAATTAAGCTCTTTCCTTACTGCAAACCTAGCAGCAAATCTGTTTTCTTCAACCCTTCCTGAAAGTGAGATTGAAGACTTGGAGCCTGCCTTCAGGGAGCACTTTGCCAGAGGTGGGATGATACATGTTCATCTCCTAACCAGCAGTATCTGTGGTGAGAATGGAGTAAAAAAGAATGACATGGTGACATGGGGGTGTCTGAGGGAAACAAGTAAGCAGAAATAAAGGAAACAGAAACTAGAGCATTCGAAGCCTCCATATTTGTAATGACTTTCAGATTAATAGAATCATAGAAACATTTAGGTTGGAAAAGACCCTTAAGATCATTCAGTTCACCTGTAAACCTAACACCACCAAGTCCACCATGAAACCATGTCCCTAAGTGTCACGTCCACACGTCTTTTAAATACCTCCAAGGATGGGAACTCAACCTCTTCCCTGGGCAGCCTGTTCCAGTGTTTGATAACCCTTTCGGTGAAGAAGTTTTTCCTGGTATTCAATCTAAGCCTCCCCTGGCACAACTTGAGGCCGTTTGCTCTCGTCCTATCGCACTTAGGAAGAGACTGACTCCGGCCCTGCCTGGGGCGGCTGGCTCATGCCACCGTCCCCTCACAGCAGAGCCGCTCTCCCCCATGGGTTCCTCACCGCCTGACACCACGTCCTGCTAAGAGAGACATGCACAGTGCAGGAGCTTGCCTGGTGCTAGGGGTAGAAAAGCCAAGGAAGCCCCAGAAGGCTGTAGAAGAGGGGAGGCAAGGGCCTCCCGAGGGCTCTTGTTGTGGGCTGGAAAGCAGCAGCCGTACCCTGGGCAGAGAGATGTGGGGCCGGGCTGGGATGTGCCCCTGTCTCTGCACCCCCTTGGAGGAGGGCTGCAGGGAGGGACAGAGAGCTGTAGGCAGGAGGGGAAGCCCCGATCTCCTCCACACCTCCCCAGTGCTCAAGCTGAGTCGGGCGAGACACCTGGGGTGGCCTCTGGCAAGCTGTCAGGGGGCCCTGCGGGAAAAGCTGGTACAGCCAAGACCTCGAGTCCCGGCGCTCTCCCCCAGACACCACCAGCTTTGCGCAGGGTACCTGCAGGAGGCAGTCAGGGAAGACAGAGGAACTTGCTGGGGGTCTTCACTGCTGCCGATGTCCCTGGCACTCTCGTCGCACCCACGATCCTGGGACAGGTGCTGACAGGCCCTGGAGCACCGCGCAGCCGGGCAGAGGAGAGAGGAGCACTGGAAGAGGCTGCCTTTGCACAGCGCCCAGACCTGCTGCTCTCTCCCATGCCAAAGCTGGTAGAGCAAGCCGAAGGTCCTGATGGAGCCTGCATGCCTTTCGTGTGCACCCACAGGAGCCCTGGAGAAAATGCGCAGGCACAGAGGCTGTGGCTGCTGAAAAGCAGCGAGGTCAGGGCTGTCACAGCCGTTCCTAGCGACATTACAGGGGTGTCAGGGACTGCCCCTTGATGGCCGCCCAGCCAGGAAGGCAGATGCCCCAAAGGGGGAAAGCCTGCTCCACGGGATGTTTCCCCTTGTTGAACTTCATTAAATTCCTCACAGCCCAATTCTTCAGCCTTTCCAGCTCCCTTTGAATGGCATCACGACCCTATGGTGTTTCAGCCACTACTCCCTGTTTTATATTATCTGAACTTGCTGAGGCTGCACTCTCCCCATTGTCCACCTCCTTAATGAAGATCTTAAACAGTATTGGCCCCGGTACTGGCCCTGGGTTACAACGCTATTAACTGGCCTTCAACTGGACCTTGTACTATTGATTACAATCCTCTGGCCCTGCATTATGTTACTGAAGTAATGCATTCTGTTTAAGGAAAGCTGTCTTTGTCTTCATCTGGTACAGTCGAAATTGTCATTTTGCGTAGTACTTTATGCAGAAACAATGTTTGGTGGTGACTGAGGACAGCCGCCTTCTGTCTCTTCAGTTACAGCTTTCATTTGCAATTAATAAACAAAAGATGTATTAGTAAATCATTTGGGCTAAGAACATGAATTCTCAAACTGAGGCATTTGAATGGGAAACTAGAGGGAAATTTTGTCAACAAAAATGCCAGAAAGATTAACTTGAGCTTAGTATGTGATCTTAAACCAGTAACCTTTGGTTGCAAGCGACAAGAGTAATAAATAACATGCTGCACACAGCTCTATTTTGTAGGGCTGCAGTAGCTCTGCAACTTTGATGTCTACCTTCTTTGGGAAAGTGGGAGAAGACCAGAAGATCTGCACAACATGTAGTTTGTCCTAACTGTGTCCTGTCTAGTTTTCTATACTGTATGAGCCTTGTTCATTTGACTTGTGTGTTCCTCCCCTCCCCCCCACTCCTTCACATATTCATAGAGCAGCACAGGTATTTCTCAATTGTTTCTTGACCCAAGCGCAAGAGATGGCAGATCAGCTATGGTCCACTGATGGGACATATCTGAACTAAGCAGTAGGCACACCACAGCTCTGCCTGCTGCAGAGCTGCTAGGGAAGGTGTCAGCCTGAAGCACCGTATGCCAAAAGACCCTACGTTAAGATGCCCATTCCTCACCTCAATTGCAGCTTTGCACTATGGACCCCTCACATGGTCTTCCATAAAGTCCTCTCCACCTGTGCTCATGTAACTCAGTTGCACACTTTGGCCAGCTGCAAGCTGAGAGGTCTATTCACATACATCCTGAATTATTTAGTGCTGATTCCACAAACTGCTGCATGGCTTCCCTAAAATCGTGCCTTTCATTTAACTGTGAAGGGCACATTGTTTTTACTGCTGTATCCTGCACAACAATACCAACAGGAACTGAACTTTTGATCCTTTTGTCTACTTCTAGCCAAGGTAATGGAAGGTGGGAAAAGAGAGCTGCAGTAACCTGAATTAAACACAGATAACAGTATTTTGTAGGTTAATGTTCATGGGTTTCACATTCAGTATATATACATTTTACTTAGTATATATACATTGGGAAAAAAGGATACAAGATTTTTAGTGATCTTGTAAATACAAAGAAACAACAGTGTTTTTCCTTTGATATACTTGTAGTGTTGCCTAGTTAGCCTAAAATCTGCGTAATACACTACAGATAACAGAGGCTCTCACCTCTTTTGTATACTTTGAGAGTATTTCAATATCAAGTTATCACAACTGAACTTAGACAAGGAAATAAAAATGTTGGCGATGAAGTTGTGAGATATTTCCTAAGGAAAAGTTTAATCTAATACACACAAATAATACAAACATAAGCACATACTGCTAGTTTTATTCAGCATTTCATGTGTTCTCTGAAAGTAATTTTTCAGATGATGAAGTCATTTTAGAGATGTGCAGGCAATAATACTTAGTGGGATTTTTCTTTTCTTTCTAGACCAAAAGAAGATGTTGAACTGTTCCTAAATGGGATTCCTTCCTTCTTATGCCCCATAAACTGTAGATATAACAGTCTGTGGCCAGTCCTGATCAAACAGTGATTGGATTGGGGAAGTATTTGGAGGAGAAAGTAGATGAAAAACTCATAATGTTGCAGGAAACAGTTAATGACTCGACTGGTGAACTTGCAATTACAGAAGTAATTGTAGTTGTGGACCACTTCATCGGACAAAAAAGAGCTTGCAAATACTTTTGCAAGAATACAGGTCTCATTGGTGTCAATATATGCACCTCTTATCCACTTAAATGTTATCAGCAGTTAGCTGGGGTATTCTTCCCAGTATCCATTAGATAGTCATTTAAATGTCATTAATATGAATAATAAACCAAATTAAACTTTTGCATTCTGATGTCTCCTCTTCAGTAATTTGAAGAGACAAAAGTAATTCCAGCGCAATACTTAGCTGTCCAGGCAGTGTAAATCTGCCATGGGGTTTAATGAAAATAAATTTCTCTGCTGACAATGTAGGTTAGAGGCTGGAATAACTCAGGGAAGACAGGACACAAGAAGAACAGTATTCTTGTAGCTAGAGTTCTATAGAGTCCTTGTGCGTATTTTTTTTAAATATATCATATATTAATATATATAATATCATCTCATATATGTATAAAATATATATTAAATACATATGAGATTATTTTTATTGTTAAATTAAGCATAAAAGAATTGAAGCCATTTATATTATATGCACTATTATTCTTCAGAACGCTGAATTTGATTCTCTTCTGTGTTTTTGTTGGTAGTGGGCCTTCGTATTATTTCAATATAAGCTGTTTGAAATGAAAACTGTTCAAAGAGACACTATCACTTTTTTTTTTTTTACACCATTAAAAAACCGTTGGTAAATCTCTGTGGAGAGGAATGTTAACTATTTTAATATAAGACTTTTGTCCATACTCAGCCCACATACTGGCATAAGCTACTCTTACAAGCAAAATTATAATGGCACAAAACTGGAATGAAAAACTCTTCTCACTGGATCTTTCTTACCTAGTTATTTCCTTTTATTGGGAAACACCTTAAGGCCAATACAAAAGGCTGGATAGAGGCATTCAGGCAAGTGAAAATGTCAGAACCTCTATATGGCTAGGCAAAGGACCAGAGAGGGGAAGAGTTAAAGGAAACTTGTGCAGTTGTAGGAAATTTTATATTACTATGTAACAGGGAAAAACTTTCTGTTGGGATTTAGAAAGACAGTTTCTACCACGATAAAAACAAAAACGTGATCTTCGTCCTAACATCTTTTAAAAAATGTATTACCAACGTACCACACGTGAACTGCCATGTTACTGGTTTATGCTCTTTTTTTCAACTGATACTCATGTCTCTGACTTTGTTTTTCAGATATAGAATACTAAGTTTGCTACTTGGAAAAGGAAAAACATGGCTTCCAACACGGTGAACCCTGCTAACCATTTGCCATACTTCTTTGGCAATATTACACGTGAAGAAGCTGAGGAGTATCTGATGCAAGGAGGAGTGAGCGATGGACTATACTTGCTCCGCCAAAGCCGGAATTACCTGGGGGGCTTTGCCTTATCCTTGGCCCATGGAAGGAAGGTTCATCATTATACAATTGAGAGGGAGCTGAGTGGCTCATATGCTATTGCAGGAGGCAAGTCGCATGCCAGTCCTGCTGAAACTCAGAGGAAGCAGATGGCCTTATCTGTTTACTGAGAAAACCTTTCAACCGACCACCAGGCATTGAACCCAAAACAGGACCCTTTGAAGATTTAAAAGAGAACCTCATCAGAGAGTATGTCAAACAAACTTGGAACTTGCAGGTAAACACAGGCTGATTTTGCCATAAAGTGATCTCTGAGTTAGGAGAAAAAGAGGTTGCAGTGTTTGTTTCCAGTTATTGCTGCCGCTATGTAGTATTTTTTCATAATGGAATCATAGCTGTTTGAGTTTTGAACAGTGGGGTTTTTTTCCCCCCAATACATACAGTAACTTGGCCATAAGTCTAGTTTTCCTGAAATTTTACAAAACTTGGGACTTTTATGGTGTCTTGGGCTAGTGTAGCCTTATCTACCACTGCACCAACTTGTGGAAATCTGATGCCAAAAATTAATAGATGTAGTGCACAAGATACAGACCTGGTTTGTTTGATTGCTTTTGATTCTGAAGTTTTATGGATTGATGTGCAGGCAGGCATGGCAACATGGTTACTTGTTTTACATCTTCCCCTCTTAGCTGGCCTTGTTCCTGTGATGCGTATTTAGATTATGTCCAAAACAGAACTTGGTTTCTTGACTGCAGAGCACTGCCTATACATCTTCAGTACTGCATGTGCCAAGCAGGAACGTTCCATGCTGAGGAAGACAGGCTAGATTTTTTCCTTAAAACGACTGTGAAGAAGCCAGTCTTAACATGGAAGCACTAGTGTAGAAGGCTGCAACAGGAATATTATTTCACCTTGGGACGCCATGAGTTACCATTATGAACTCATGGCGTTATACTAGGTTTTTAATCTCTTTTGGTACTAGCAAGTAATCCTATGTGTTCTGCTCTGTAAAATATGTGAAGCAATGCCCAAACTGGAAAAGCCTGAAACTTATACTACATTTACTACAAGTGCTGAGGCTTACAGTTTTTTCTGATGAGTGTGAGCCCAATCTAGTAGGAAGTTGATGAACTCAAGTTGAAAACTGATAAAACTAGGGGGTTTTGCCCTCAAGATTCTGGGCCAAATTTAGAAGTGATAGGTTGTAGATGGGTTTAGAAGCGTCTAGGCTATACCTAAAATATTAACATAGTTCACTCTAAAATTGAGACTCTCCTGTCTGCTTTTGGGAAATTTGCATTGATGTCTTCAACATAGACATGCTGCAACAATGCAAAGGCAAAGTTTGTTCAATTTATTTCAGTAAACTGCCATAGGGTGTGTAACATGGAGGTATGTTATGACATCTCAGAGTGACACTAAGTATATTTAGCTATGTCTCATTAGTATAAAAATACAATTTTCAGTTGAAATACTGATATATTAAGGGCTTAATTTACTGGTTATTTTTCCTTCTGTTTTTCAGAGATAAAGGAAAAATCCCAGCTGTGTGATGTTTAGATTACCATACGTTAAGTTTCTGTTTTAATATCTTTATAGCAACCAGATCTTTTCTTCACATACAACAAGTATATGCAGATTTTGGATGTCCCAAAAGCAATCCAATACTGGAAGTCTACCTGTCATGTTTTTCTTTCAGAAGACAGTTTGACTGTCCCGCTGTGTTTTTACCTCTCTCTAGGGGCATGCTCTTGAACAAGCTATCATTAGTCAAAAGCCTCAGCTGGAGAAGTTGATTGCCACTACAGCCCATGAGAAGATGCCGTGGTTCCACGGAAGGATCTCTCGGGAAGAGTCAGAACACCGTATCCTCATCGGGTCAAGAAACAATGGAAAATTTCTGTGAGTGCTTTTTTCTGTATTGCTGTTTGCCACTGGTGTTACTACACAGTTCCCTTGAATGAATCTTGAATGAGAGTTTGCCCTAAAAGGTGGCTCATTCGCAGTGAGAGAGCCTGGTCCAGCATGATACACATAACATAATCATTCCTGTACTAAGCAAGTGTCTCCAAGATTAGGTTTCCACTTAACTAAAGATGGGAAATTATAGCAAAAGGGTGGGTCATTGTGTTTTTATGAAATACTATGTTTAATTCTAAAGGGAGCGTCAAAGAAACTCAATACCAAGAAAAATTAATTGAACTTTGTTTTATAACCGATAAGCAGTACTAAGTGACGGTGGTAGGTTAACCTTGGCCCACCAAGCCGCTGTCACACTCCCCCTCCTCAACAGAACAGGATGGAAAACCTTGTGGGTCAAGATGAAGACAGGGAGATCACGTACCACTAACTTTCACAGGGAAAACAGACTCCACTTCGGGAAAAGTAATTTAATTTATTGTCAATTAAAATTGAGTTGGACAGTAGGAAGCAAAGACAAAAACATAAAAACCTTCACACTCCCACAATCCCAATTTTCACAGGTTCAACTTCACTCCTTCGCACCCAGCTCCTCTCCCCACCAAGCGGCGCGGGGGAGGCTGGGTGGGGGACGGGGGCTGCGGTCAGTCTGTAACAGCTTCTCTCTGCCGCTCCTTCCTCCTCACGCTGTTCCTGTTGCAACATGGGCTCTCCACAGGAAACACCCTTCAGGAAATACCCACCTGCATGGAGGGCTGCAGTGTGGACGCCTGCTCCACCGTGGCCTCTCCTGTGGGCTGCAGGGGACTCTCTGCTCCAGGGCCTGCAGCACCTCCTCCCCGCCTCCTCCTCTGCCCTGGGTGTTTGCGCTGCTGCTTCTGTTTTGTGTTTGTTGTTTTCTCTTTGCCGCCACATACCAGCCGTTTTTCTGCCCTTTCTTAAGGATGTTTTCATGGAGGCGTCGCATACTCGGCTGAGGGGCTTGGCGGTGCCCTGCAGGGGTGTCCATTGGGGCCAGCTGGAACCAGTCGTGACCGGCCCAGGGCAGCCCCCGGCCTCCTCACAGAGCCCCTGCAGCCCCGCTGCCAAAGCCTGCCCACCTGCACCCAATGTGCTGACTTACCAAAGTGGTAAAAATACAAACAAACTGCCTGTGTTAACAACTGAAGGGATCCGTAACTGTCAGTTTTCCCGGGGCAGTGGCCGTGCTCTGTTTTGCAGTCAAGCAACAGAAGGAATTGCTTTTGCTGTGGTAAGGCCATGTTGTGTCTGCCGCTGTCTGCGTTTTCTCAACCTCATGATCTTTTGTTTTCTGAGTGCAAATGTGTCATTTAGGATAGAGACTAACAGCCATCATCTTGTGAGGATTAGAGCCAGTCAAAATCTTCCAATAAAAAAGTTTTTCTTTTGGAAAATCCTCGTGAAAAAAAATCGATGTTTTCAGTGAGCCATTTTTCGTCGCCGCCCCAAATGGAAGTATTTATATCATGATAGAAAACGAAGCTTCAAGTTCCTGGCCAAGGAAGGATCACTTAGAGCTGTGTAATTCCCGAGAGAAATTTCATCGCGTACCTACATAGACTCCTTCAGCACTCAACTATCTTTGAGTTTTTTAAAGCTAGTCCAAAGTAAAACCCCAGGAGTGAGTGTGGGATGGATATGCTTCTTCAGTACCAACTCTTTCACTTTACTGATTTGCCATAATTGTGACACACTAATTGCTAATGTAGATGCAACCTTCATATGTTTCCGTGTTTCAGTCTTAATTGTCAGGAACTGGTAACTCGTCTAAATCTTTATTTCCAGTAGAGTTAATTCCTAACAGGTCTTACCTACAAATACTTTGAATGTACTGACATCTCATTTCTTGAAATGTTTTTCCTTCCCTCAGTCCTTGAATTTTTTCTGTTTCACGGTCACTCTCACCCAAGTTGCCATTCAGCTTCATACTCCCTGTTTCTTGGGATCGCATCTAGAGGATCATTTACCTGGTTGCTTTTGTTGCCATTTGTAACAAAAAAATGTTATAAATTTGTTACAAATTTTGTTGCATTTGTAACAAAAAATTGTTACAAAAGTTTGTGGAGCCAAAGATTCCCCTTATCACAGATTCATCTTTTCTGAATGCTTCTTCCTATAGCACAGGAGAAGCTTCATCAGTTTGATGAACGTAGTTGCTGTTGTAAGTTACCATCACAGCATTACCATACCTCCTTTCTTGACTGTGACTCCTGTGACTTTGCTAGTTTCTTTTCCTACTTTTTAGACATAGGGGCAGGTGGATATGTAATCTGATACAAAGGAGCATCCCTTTCTTTTAATGACCTATTTTTTTCTAAAAAATTATTACTTTCTGTATTAACATCTTACCAAATCAATGTTACATCCACTGAGTCATGATGCTGATCACGTATTTAAACGGGAGCCTTTCCAGTTTACCTCTTGCACACATTGGTTTCTATGTGGTCAAAGTACTTCTCTTTGGGGAAAAAAAAGGAAGGTAACTTTTTTCAAAGAAACGGATCCCTTAGCTAACATTTCTTAACAACAGGGATGGGCTTTGGAGTGAGGGAGTATAATTTTTTAGCAGACTTGACATTTTCAGTCTCTGTTATAGACCCTGGTTTCTTTAATCTTCTATAAGCATTCCTACAGCTTTAAATAGAAGTACTTCCCCAGCATTTTCCTGTTTCCCTTAGAGATGTCCTAGGAGGCATTGCTGATGCTGTTTGCAGTGACATGCTCGATGGGCTGTGGAGGGAGCAGTCCCACCTTCTCCTGTGGGACTGGTTATGTCAGTGGGTGCATATCACACAATAGTTCTGCTGGAACTCAGGCGGCTGCTTTCATATCAAGTAGATAAACCCACAGAGGGAAAATGCTAACTTTAAGACTCTGTTTAAACCATGAGAAGTGCCACTGGAGCTTAAATAATATGAAAATACAACTGATAGTTTGTTGAGCTTGGGTCCCTCTTATTAAGAACAACACTGTTTACTTCTCATCTGTAGGGTGCTTTCCAATGCATTAATTGTTCTTGCATGGCCTATCTGGCAGGTTTAGAGCTCAGTAACCACTTGGCTGCTGTTTACTCTTCTGCTCCCAGGGAAGAAACAGGGTGAGATCTTCATTTGCCCCGTAATTCAGCAGCCAGAGCAGCAAGAGAAATAATGTGGTATTCATTTGTATCAGAAATGGGTTACTTTTCCTTCCAGAGCTCTTCTCAGATTAGTAGACCTAGAGGCTCATAGCAAATAACAAAAGAACTGTCTAATTCAGGGAGGTTTTCTGTTTTCTGCAGAGGTTTGTCTAACATGGGCTTGCTCAGCAGGTGTTGAGAAATAAACCACTCATTTGTTAGCTAACTGAAACAGTAGCAGCAAAATTGTTGAGTGCTAGAGAGGTGCAATGATTTACATTTCAGGCACGGGCATCGCATACTTTTTCCCTACCCAGCAGCAGCACGTGTCAGAATCTTCTGTACATCTGTGGACTGAAGACTGTGAACTTGTTCTTGTGAATATAGCTGCTAAGGGACTGTTTTTCTCACACTGGTCGAGACACTCAAGCCTGGCAGCTGACTGAAAGGTAGAAACTTAGAAACATTCAATGTCTAAGAGAAGTTCGCTTGTTGAGGTAGGAATTGGAGCCTGGGAACATAGAGGGAAACTAGATTTTCAATGGGATGAGGTACTTCAAGGCTATTCAACAAGTCCACAAGCAGGTGCTGGTATATGACAAAAATAATCTTATTTATTGTGGAAAAATAATAAATTTTAGAAGGCTAGAATATTTCTGTATATTCTTTTACTCTGAAACTTCGTTACACCAGAAATCTGATAACTGTCTGACCTACCTGTTTTTGAAACAAAATCCAGTACAGCAGTCTCTGTGAGAACATATCTAACGCCTAGATTTCTTTAGCACTGCTTTGCAGCACTACAAGATTATCAAATCTAGAATTTTTTTTATATAATAAATATGGAAATAGTTGAAAAGCTTCCTGATTGCAGTTCAAAATGTCACAAATAACATCATAAATCTAACACTGCGACTCATCCAAGCTGCTGGAAAAGTTCTGGGCTAGCAGTGCGTGTTTTACTAGGGAATTTTCAAAACCTTTTTAAAGTTTTTGTCATGACTGAAAGTCAGTGAAATAAGCGTGTATGTGGGTGCTATAGAGTTTGTTTTCAAAGCCAAATGTAGAAACAATGTAATGAAATGACGTGAAATAGGAAGCAGTGCCCACCTCTTCTGGGAAGAACACTCATGAAAGATTGCCACTCAAAAAAAAATTTGGAGAAAAAACTATAGCAATGGAATAGAAAGAAAATATTATATCTCTAAAATGACCTGAAGTGCAACTGAAAATAGAGAACTTTATTTAAGTCTCAAGCCCCTGTTAGCTTCATTCACACTACTTTGCATGTTGTGTAGGATGCTGGTTCTTACGAGACTTCTTTTTTTTCATTAGACTTTACCTGGTAGGGGGCATAGTTGTAGAATATGGTGATTAATATTGTCTAGATGATCATAGATAACACTATTAGTGTTATTAATACTGTTATTAATATTGTAATAATATTT